CTAAGAAACAAGCCCAAATAGTGGTGTGAATCAAACTTCATTCATTCAATTACACTTCCCCACATTTTGTGTAAAGTTTCATAGTTCTGACACAAAGCCAAAAAATGGTACAGTGTACTAAAACAATGTTAGTGCAGCATACAGTGATTGAGTTTTTTGACTGCAGTAAATGTTTCACCAACTGATATTTGTTGCCAATTAAAAGTCATTTATGGTGATGATTATTCAGACATCAGTATTGTTTGACATTGGGTTGCATGTGTGCCAGCCTGAATGACAAGCAACATAGGAGGAGATTACAAAGAGCAACCAACAAGGCTCACCAAAATCATGAAATTATCAACTAGAATCAAAATGTTTCCCAGCAGGCAAACGGAATCAAATTACCATTTCACATAAACAAGTAAAAATGAAGACTGATGATCTCGGACACTGAAAGAAGTGCAAATGATAGGTTATAAGAATGCTTACTGAGAAACTGAAACAGAAGCTAACTTGCTAATGACTGTCATTACAATATGAACATAAAGCCTACAAAGTCTTGTAAAACAATGTCTCTACAGATAAATGCTGGAAGCAACACTTTAAGCCTGAGAACAAGAAAAGATCAAAGGGATACTGTTACAAAAATTTTCCAGCACCAAAGAAATTTTAGACTGCACCTTCTCCTGCCAAAGTTGGCTCACTGATATCTGTGATGTTCATGGAGTGGTGCATTCAGAATTCAAGCCAACTGGTATCACCATTAACCCTGAGCATTGCACTGGAATAATACAAAAATTGAAAGCTCATTTATGAAGAATCTGTCCTGATATGCTGAAGATTTTCCTCCAACAAGATAAAGTGAGGGCCTCATACAAGTGCACAAATGACTACAGAAACTCTCAACTCTGGTTTCACTGACTTGGATCCACCTGACTTCCTGATGTAATATCTGAGAGGATGTTGCTTCTTGTTAGATGAAGTCAAAACAGCAGTAAACATTTGATTCTATCAACAAGACATATAGTTCTATTATGAAAAACTCATGAAACTACCTGAACATTGGTGTAAGTGTGTGGATTGCAGAGGTATGTTAAGTAATTGTGTAAAATTACTAAATAAATTTCAAGAAAAGTACCCATTCTTTTGTTTATATAAAGGATCTATTTCTGTTGCAGAAACAAATGTATTACTTTTCAGCACACCTTTATTGCAGAATTATATGTAGGATACAAACCTTGGAATAAGAGCCATGACCACAGACAAGAACACAACTGACCAGTATGTTGCTGAACTCGCTGCATGTTGCACAACCCAGTAATTACTTGGCAAATTTAAACACTGCACACATATAGAGTTGTAAACTAATGAGAAGGCGTAGAAAGCACCAATAGATATGGAAATGGAGAGAATGTGGATTATTGTCTGCAATAAACAAAACAATAAAGAATTATGAATGTAGAATCAAATTTTCTATGTGGTTAAAGAGAATAATAATTTGTTTATATGTGTATAGTTTAGTCTTACATAAAATTCAAGATTCATATTTCAAATAGAGAGTTTTTCAACTTTCAATAAAATTTAAAATTATAATCATTGTCCTCGTAAAGTTTATGACAGATGACGTGATATATTATTTTGGTTAATGTCAATATTTCTATGACATTACATGAGAAGACCAAGTGTGGTTGCTGCAGTGCAGTTTTAAAAAAATCTGCAGTTAAGGCAATAAAACAGATGAAATCTATGTGTCACTTACATAGTCTATGTGAATCACAAAGTATTTTAACAACTTATAATAATGTAAACTAGCTTACCCATGATCTAGTTTCAATGGCAACATGAAACAGCATCACAAACAAACATGAGGTAGCTATTGTGGTCCCAAATTCCCAGATCCCAATATCTGTGTCATGGTACGCCTGCGGCAGAAAATCAAATTAAAAAATGAGAAAGATGGCAGTAAAGATGATCAATAACTATACAAGACAGCTTTCAAAAGTTCTGAGGCTGGAGTCACATCTTCAATAAAAATACAATCCAACAGCAGATACATACTTCTGCCAACACTTGTACAGTTACACAAATTTTACAATTCCAGACCATCAGCCTTTGAACATTTTTATGTAATTTGTACTTATAACAAAAGTATTTATAACATGTCACCATACAAATTCCACAAGCCACATTACAAACACTGATAAACCAATACCATCATGCCTTGATATTTGCCATGGCAAAATATTGATTTTCATATTTACAAAATAAGATCAAAATTAAAGTCACATGCATTTTAAATATCTGTCATTACACAAAATTTCAACACCCCACACTTGAACAGAACTTGTGTTGTTCCCACGGCAAGGTAACATGGTCACCAAGCTGGTGGCTAAGATATGAAAAGTTCCAAAAATGAGGAGTCATGTTGTTCGCACCAACAGCAGCAGAAATTGGTAAGTGTGAATATATCAGTACCCATATTTGAATAAAAGATGGGCGGAGAGACACACATATAGTTTGCTAATAGGATTCTAACAATGGAATTCTAGAAAAAGTGACAATCTATTATGAAGCATAAGACAAGCCACAATTCACACTTCAGTATAATGATAGTCCCAATCATTGTATAATTAAGCCAATATGTCATTTTTAAAACAAGACAAATATAAATGTAGTAACTTCCCATACAATCTACCAGAATTTTACATGACATACCCAAGATCTGAGGTTCTAACAGTAGTGAAGGATATTCTTTTAGGTAACTACCTATAAGGTCACAAGGTGCCACAACCCAGATGATGATCAACAGATTGTGACAGCTGAAGACAAATGTGTGCCTGTATGTATATACAGTCACACACACAGGAATGATATGAGTTATTATGCTACATACAGGCAAACCTACTGATGGGAATCAGTACTGAGTGAAAATCAGCAATGACTCACCCCTTCAGTTAGGAAGAATATAACAATGCTCTGGTAGAGTGAATCTGCCATTGTGATCCAGAAGGAGTGCGGTTTATACACTAAACCTAAACGACCTTGTCTGTACAGATTTGGTCGAGCCAACAGCAAATCTTCTGGTGCATCTTGGTCATACACACCTAAAAACAAACATACAGGCCACATAACACCAACAAAATAAGTAATAAAAACTATAGTTGAGGTATGCTTTATTTACAATTAACAATTTGCTTTTCATGAAAAATAGAATAACCTTTAAAATCTGGGGTGGTACCAATTTCATTTTCTAAACAATGCATAAAATCCCACAACTTCTGCCATCCACTAACAAAACAAATTGAAACAAGCAATCTACCTTCTACTAGCAGTAAGAATACTGTGGGCAGTGGCACCACTTGCATGTGGTGGTTGAGTTAAAGAACCACAAAGAGTTAGTTTTAAACATGACAAGTTAATAAACTGTTGCCTTAAAAAATCACAGGGAAAAAATAGGTTTTAGGTCCTTCCATATACTGGGATACTGGATACAGAGTATGAAACTGCAAATAAAATAAAACAAACTGAATTCCTCTCTATTTGCATGTAACAGATCACATACAAAAATACTAAGATCATTAAAGTTCTGACAACAACAGTTACAGACTTTCAAGATTAAGCTGTACTTACCTATCACAAGAGGTGGAAGGGATGTGAATAGCAGATTGTATAACATCAGGTACATCTGATCAATCATTACTGATCCAGAAAAGCCACAGTACAGTTGGTACCAAAAAATGAGAAATACAAAAGTCTGTAAAACAAAACACAACTATAAAATATTCATAAAAGCACGGTCCAGAAAGTGTCAATAAATAATGTCATCTTCAATATACTTCATGCTCTAACATGATATTATGCTAGTAGAAACACCATATACCAAAATAATACTCTAACTACAGTATAATTCAATTATCCATGGTGAGAAGAACTATTTACTAATACAGGTAGCCCTCGATTTACGCTGGGGATGCGTTCCTGGACGAACCAGCATAAATGGAATCGTCGTAAATTGAAACTCTTTTATAATGTAAATCAATGGGAAGTCAATGACATGCATTCCCAGCACCCAAACACTAACGAGTAATATAGTGGCATTACATTTAAAGCTCTGAAATAACATAAATAAAATAAAGGGAATTTAAAAAAATATATTTTACACACAATCGGCAATTTGTCGGTACCCACGATTGACTGTGATTTTTTCATGTGTTTGATGTGTACAGTCATCTCTGCTGTTATGCGACAGCTGCATTCATGTAAGACGCCGACCTATAGAAAATCGCGTAGTAAAAATAACCCCGGGACCTCCGCAGAGATTAAATTAGTCCTTTGAAAGTTTAAAGCGCCAGGAATGAAACTGTATAAGAGCAAATGCAAATATGCAAAAGTTTGCATTTCACAAACAGCTTTTACCGATTCATCGATCTCATTGGAGCAAATTCGCGTTAACGAAACATACGTAATTGCAGAGATGACTGTATTTATAATTTTTATTCAAAATCAGCGATGTAAGAATTACGATTTAGTATAAGAATCAGAACGAGAAACATTGTAAAACGTTATAAGTAATAGTAATTTTTTTTTTCTTTCACTTTTTGACTTGCTGGTTTCAAAATCGGTGTTATTGTGAATCGGCGTAAATCGAGGACTACCTGTACTCTGATTTACAAATTCAGATGCCGCTCTTTAATAACATGTTCTTGTGTTATCCAATGGCTTTAGTGAAGAAGAAGAAATTAAAACTTTCACCAAAAATAATTTGCTAATTTCAGTTACTTCAATACTTTTGACTTTTCAATATGGCTTATAACACAAAAATGATATCATTAATTACACCATGCTGAATGTCTGACCAAAAGTAGTTTATTTCCCTTTATCATACCAAGTTAATGGCTTAGCTGTAGGACAGAGCAATACACAGCCAGCTGCACTGCATATGAGCATGCCACGTGGTTGATAAAGGTTAAATCAGGAAAGAAAATTTAAATTTTTTTAACACAGTTTCATTAAAACTAAATTACCTCCACAAAATTTATGAAGTCCATTATGAAATCTATCTTTAACATATGAGCCCATTTAGACTCTAGTATGGTGACTTTCTCTCGGGATAACGATAAATGCCACAGAAAATTTAATTATTACGTAACTAATTGTCAATTTTAACACTCATCTCTCTCACATACCAAATTTGCATCTGTCCACTTAAACAAAATTTTCTACCATGCAAATTGGACTTCTTTCTTCCAAGGTGTAAACCTCTGAGATAAATACTCCCACACCCTACAAAAGCATATTAGTTTCTGGGTTGAGAGACAGCATAATAAATTAATACATTTGTAATGAAAATAACCTTGGCAGAAAAAGAGCATGTATAATATTCTTTTTTAATTCAAATAATTAATGGTTTGCAAAACAAAAATCCACTTACAGCATTCTTATAGAAGAAATACAGCACCATACGCGACAGCCGATCATAACACCAGTGACCATGGACCAAAAGAAGCTTCTCCAGATACTTGAACCTTGAAATTGCAAAATCTGATGCCATGACAGCCTGCATCCCTTCCTGACCAGAAATTCCGATTCCAACATCTGCTGTCTGAATCATGGACACATCATTTGCACCATCACCTGGAATCCACGCTGTCTTTACTATTTACCACATTAATGCCATCTAACACAACAATTTATTTCAACACCTACACTACACCAGCTATCTTCAAGACAGCACACACTTTGATTAGGTTAATAAAAGTCATTACATAGATGATTCATGTTAAACTCAAAATACTATACATAAGATACATAATTTTTAATAGGTGAGAACAATAATCACATCAAATAGTGTGATACCATGAAGATGGCAGAAGTGTAGCTAACACATTGATGATGAAAATGCCAGTAACTTATAGCATTGTATAGACAGAAGTGACAGAACTGTTAAAATAAGTTGAGATATCAAATCATGTTTATGCGTGATGGTTTCACTACACACACCCATTTGTTTTCTCATCAAAAAATATCTCTTTAAGAATAATATATCTTTCCCCATTGTGAATAACTATGAACAAAATGTTTATACACCATCTTCCATATTATTCAGTGAATCACGTGTAGTTCAACAACAGTTAAGTGCAAAGTAACGGCTTGTAAACGAGAAAAAGTATTGGGTGGCTTAGCAGAGAGAGAAAAGATTCTTCCAAGAAGAAGGGGAGGAAGTGGAATCTCCACTCAACAGTTCTTGTATTTTCTTTGGTGGCACTGTATCTTATTCAAATAAAATTATGTCAGCCTTTGCAAAACATGTGAAAATGTAGGATGCACCTATTGCAAGTGTTCTCATTTTGAGCTGTTCCTTGACAACCCTCACAATGTACGCCTTCTGTAAGGGTGTGGCTCGACAGCAAAGGACAGAACTGCAGTAACAGGTCAGCTGCAAAAATGGTTTCTGCAAGTTTGAGCGTTGATCCAGAATGTACCTGAAATAAAACATGAACAAAAATATTTACCACTGCTCTTACAAACCCAAGTTAATTTATTCATCTGGAGTTCCACCTCATCCCCTGCAGTAAAATGAAAAATAGCTCCTCAAGGTACAGCACAGTTTCTGGATGCCACATTTTAATGATAATAAATATAACTGGTTCATCATCTTCACAGAAAATATGGAAGCTGTACATAACAGAGTAATTATTTAATAACACACTTTACAATTCATGTAACTTCCATGGTATAATCGTCTAGTCATGAGGTCAGGCTCGGACTATGACCACCCATCAAGGATGAAGTAATGTTTCCGTTTACAATACATTTACACCTGCACATGTCGCGAAGGGTCAGCGGAACATAGACCTACATTTGTCACTGTCAGCTGTCCTTTCGAAAAATTCACATTCAAGAAGTTCAAAACTTCTTGTAACTGGATACTTTGACAGGCCATTGCAGTATTTCACCCCTAGGAGGTCAGACCCCTATTAATTGGGTTTATGCAAAAGTAGGCATAAGTGACCTAGCATCACCGTGCGATGTAAACTGTCACAGTTGGCCTTGGGTATCAAACCGACCAATCAGAGAAAAGTTATTCTGATTTAAATTCAAATTATTCCAACAATCACAAAACAAAGCAGGAAGTCGAACCAATGATGTTACAAAATTCATATTTCGGAATGAGTGTGAGAAATTAATATATTCGAGAGACAAACTTCTTTCAGTAGACAGTCGTGAGTTGCAGTTGTCAGTTATCAGTTGGTGTAAGTTCGTCCTCAAATTTTAACAATATAAATTCTTAGTCGGTTATCATGGACGCATATGTGTATTCACTTTACTTTGTTCTCAAACAAAATTGCATCATCTGCCAGTATCGTGCGGAGGAATTAATTCAACAATCACCTGCAAATAAATACCTAAAGACACAGCTGAGGCGATCTTTAATTAAACCCCGTAAACCCAGCGTAAGAGTCTCATGTCTCGTTTTACCCAAGAGCAGAAGAAGAGACGGTTAGTAAATCGTCGCAGACCCAAGGCCACCCAAGCAAAGAAAAAGAGGAACGGTTACAGTATACACAAAATACTGAACACATTTTCATAAAATATGATATACAGGAGTTGGTTAAAACTGGACAACAAGGAGCAATTTGCATGAAGACTTGCACTGGCCCCAGTTCCAAGGTCACTGGACATAGGTGAAATGTCACTGATGCCAAGCTAAAGGTCACATTGACCTGAGGCCCAATGTACATCAGTCCTCATTTAATGTCATTGGTCACTGGCCTGAGCCCCAGGTCACTGACTCCAGATCCAAGATCACTGCATGATAGATGGGTAATCCCCAGCCAGCTGTACAACTATGTGAGAAATCTTCACGATGAAGGCATCACATATAGCCAGGTGCCAGACACCTCTTCAATATAAAAGTCACTGGCAACATACAACTCTGACATCACTAGAATCAGTTGCAAAGGTGAAATTCTCACAAATACATTGGAATTATTATGTTATGCATACATTTCCTAACTCCTCTGAGTTTACAAAACAGAAACTCATGACAGAGCAACTTGGTTTTCATGTACCATTATTTTTTTATTACTGACTTTTTTTTAATAATACTAATCTCACACCACACTGTATAAATGTATCTGCAAATTTTCTTAAGCTATAAATTAAGCCAGTTTTTTTACCATTGCACAAGCTTATAATTTAGTTTTGTGTTGTGTAAGCTATTGAAGAATAATATTGTTTTCATGGTTACTACAATTTGTATCAAAATCTTCAGAATTTACTATCACACTTTCATATAGCATCAGCAACTTACGTGAGGGTTTTACCATCAATAACAAGGGCCCTCCTTTTATTGGCATGAAGGGGCCCCCTCTGATGCTGTGATGGAGTGTCTCTAGGAGAAATAGTAGCTCGTGCAAACACTCCCACCTGGTTTAAACCTGGAGGTCCTCCTACAATTCTGAAAATATAAAAATAATGATGATTTGCTGATGGGTTGTTTAAACATTGTGTATTTTATAGGCATTAATTACAAAACCCATTCTTATAGCTGCTGCAGCTCAGTTTGTGTCCTGATTTTGTCTGACCACAGAATATTTCTATATCATATTTAGGAAATCATATAATTTCTTACATTAGGGGTCCGTCCTTCATACACCATCAAAAAACATAAACAAACATATATATTCTAGATGTGATTCACAACTGCTATCCAAGTGTGAAAATGGCTGATAATTCCATGTGGTCACCAGGATTAGAGATTTATCATCATTCTAATACAATAAATTTAAAATAGACAAGCTGTGCAAAAAATGACAACAAACACTAGAAACCATGTCTCAGTGTAATATACTTATAACAAATCACAAATTAAAGTTATGTAATGTAAATTCAATTCTACTTGATGGAAAAATCCTCTGCCCCTATTGGGGATCGAACCCCAGTCGTCCAGTCCGTAGCCAGTCACTATACTGATGGAGATACACTGGCATCTTATCACGTTTCATGCATTAATAGAGAGATTAAAAATAAATGGGTTTTCAATATAACTAAGATAGTAAATTTAAAATATGAAAAAGTTCCTATTTTCCAAAACAGTATAGTAAAATATCAATAATACGACAAATAAACCAAAAACACTAAAAACATGCATATTACTTTTCACTCCCCATCCAACCACACAAAATACATTTAAAATTCTAGATGCCAATCACCTGACAAGACATCTATATTTAAATAATTCATATGTTCAAGCCAAGAGCCGGGATAGCTCAGTCAGTATAGTGACTAGCTACGGGCTGGACGACCGGGGTTCGATCCCCGACGGGGGCAGAGGATTTTTCCTCTCGCCTCTGCGTCCAGACCGGCTCTGGGGCCCACCCAGCCTCCTCTACAATGGGTACCGGGGTCCTTTCCCGGGGGTAAAGCCGGCCGGGGCGTAATGCTGACCACTCACCCCCATCTAGTGCCGGGGTCAAGGAAGAGAGGAGCTATACCTCCACTCACCCCAAACGCCTACATGGCGTATAGTGGGACAAACTTTACTTTACTTATATGTTCAAGCCTCACCCAATATCTGGAGGAGACTGTCTCTCAATATCTGCCAGATAAAACAATATTGTGCTCTCAGCTGCATCTCTTGACCTGGCAGATAGTTTCAGCAACTCCATCTGTGGTGAGAAAAGTTTCGCTGAGTATGCTACATTAATGGCAGTCTCTGGTTTGTCACCTGTCAGCACCCAAATCACTATCCCAGCACTAATCAGGGAGCTTATTGCCTCTGGTACTCCATCCTGCAGTCTGTCTTCAATACCAGTGGCTCCTGCAACACAGTAGTCATCAAAATTACAGAGAAAATCAACATAAAGATGTTTCACTCCACAGTCATAAATTATGTCTTACACATGGATAGCAAAAACATTTAAAACAAAATGTGTAAATCCCAAAGAGATCTATATTTTATGTGACATACAAATAATTTTTTACTTGACCTTCTAAAGCAAGGAGCTGTTGTAAACCAATGAAAACTTCTTAGATTTTATGTACCATATCTCATCAAAATATGTAAACTAATCCAGTAGATAAAATGTGTGTATACATAGATGGATATACCATGACTACCCCATTATGTATAAACTTTGTGTAGTAGGGAAATACTGTTCTGGTACATAGAAAATTTTAATTCTCAGTCAGAATATCACATATGGATCAGATAACTGTAACTTCAAATTTAAAAAGCGCATACAACACAACTCTGTAAGAAATAATTTACTCCATGGACCACAGTATTTCTTGAGAAGCTACCAGTCACTTACCAAATCAATAACTTTCAGACGTCTCACAAAAAATATATACCTATAAAATCAATAAATTATTATATAAAAAACCTTCAATACACACACTATTTTATTGGTCAATTATATAATTCAACTCAGGAGAGAAATACCACTTCTAAATACAAACAACACAGAGCACTGTTTGAACAGTACATGTATAATTAATTTCTACATGAGACTGCATGTACATACACATTTTTAAACTTTGTTTTGGTCAGTATTAACATTCACTTGCACCTGCTTGGGATATGACATATGAGACATGTTACTTAGATGCTACCTTTGGTTATTTGATAACTAATCTAAGATTCAGAGTTTCCAGTTATCTAACAAATAAAACAGATGGAAGGTGAAGAAAATTCTAAAATCTTCTTAAAGTTACACACTCAAAGAAACATAAAACTGTGCAATAAAGATAACTATGAGACAATTAATAATTTTGTAATTATAAAACGGTTGAAGTAAAAACGAAACCCACTCTCTAAAGTCAGGCAGATGACTGGAAATTTTACAAATGAGAGATTTAATAATCTTGTAATATAAGTTAGAAAAAACATTCAAATTAACATACCTATGTATGCTGGTGATTTTGAAATTTAGTCTTCTAAGTCTAAAAGAGATAGGACTATTGTTGAGTAAGACTAATTCAGCTTTTAATGTTCCATCAAAATGATGTGACAAAGCTGCAGTAGTAATAAACATAAACAATGGGATTCTTAAGAAGGAAGATGTTCCTTCATAACACTAAGTAAAAGATGAAACAACGAAAGTAACATAAACATACACAATGAACAATAATACAATAGGTAAAATAAACCTTGTAAAATGCATAAAAAACTTGAATTCTTGGGTTAAAATAAGATATTAATTAATAACCACTAACAGTATAAAATTGTGAATTGGTCATGAAACAATATGCTTTACACAGAAACACAGTCTACAATATGATCAGTTTAAAATGAATCACAACCTGACTGAGGAACTAACCAAGCAATGTCAGATTTGTTTCAAGCCTGGAATAGCTCTCCCTTATCCTCCTCTCTCTGTTCTCCAGTCCCAGTGTTGCTTCACTATGTTTCCGCAGCCAATCATTATATTCCACATCTGACAGAGTTCTTCGGGCCATTACTAAAACTCTGAGACCTTGACGAGCATACGAGTTAAGATGCTGCTGTGTTCGAAATATAAGCTGCTGCATCATGAAGTCATCTAGAACAAATCAATGTATACAATGAACTTCACAGAATATTGTAGGATTTGATGTGTCTTAGATACAGCTCTTTGGGGATGTTATGCAGTATAGTCATCTGGTTGTTTTAACATAGTTTTGGGTGATTATGCTGCCTCCATCTTCAAGGACGAAAAAAGGAGGGTCAGGTCAAGAAGACTGGCCATTCAGTGCCATAGAAAATGGATGGGAGACATAGATAATTCTGTTCCAGCATGAGCAAGAAACAAGAAAGTGCCCTTTTCAGGGCAACCAGAGAGGTAGGCAAGGCCAAGAGAAGAGAAAAGACAATCCCTTTAGAGGGCCTCAGAAAGGAAGCTCAGATCAAAAGCAAATGCGTGTCTTGCTCTCAGAATCTTTTTTTGTTCTTCACGGGTTTAAGTAACAGGCTTCCATGACCTGCTTAGGAAGAATCCACCATCTCTAATCAAGTTGTCTGAATGCAGCCCAATCTCTACTCCTTCCTTAAAATTACACAAAATGTTATTTATATAAGATTCATAGTATCCTATCAACATTTAAAGGACTTACAGGCAGATGGATAGATAGGGCCAGATTAATATTTCACAAAGCCCTAAACTAAGATGAGAATCCTATAAAACCTAGAAAAAGAATAACATATAAAGATTCATTAACATTAAAGTTCTTTATTTGAATAATTAAAACAACCTTTGTAACATTAAAACCACCTTAACAAGGGAAACAACAGAGTAAGCTTCTAGCCTACCAGCACCAATCCAGAGATGGAAGTACAGCTGGCTTCAAAAATATTCTGGTTTTAAATATACGAAGAACTAGACAATGGACAAAGTCTAACAAAATAAATATACATGTTTGCAGTTCGCTCTTAATTTCTTGCTCTACTAAACTAACAGGTATTCTCAACCCATAGAGATTTGAATTGTGTGGAACATGTATTTCTGTAATATCATATAACTCAGCATAATACTGTATTTACTCATGTAAATCTCACATATATTTCCTGTATTTTGTGATCAAATACTGGGATGTGTAATTCAAGTGAGAAAGAATTGTTATAGGCCTTAACAACAAAATGAATTTACTATTCCCAAGAATACATAATATTTTCGTAAGTTATTACATGAAACAACAAATCTTGACTCACATATCATGTTACAAAGTTATTCATCACTACTGTCACCCTGGGAACTGCTCTCTGCTGCCGCTTCACTATCCCTTTCCACACCCACATTTCCATCTCCAACTCACAACATATCATCCTTACTTAACGTGAAAGTATGTCTGCAATACCAGTAGTAAGTTAGAAGCATGTTCTTTCCAGTTCATCCTTCATTAAATCACTCTAACAAAACTAGGTACGAAACGTGAGTTTCCTTTTTATGCAGTGTTTACATTCCCTCTTACTTCATATCCCTTATGTAGTTTTTTTGTGAACTGAATACCGAAGCTTCCTTTCACACTTATGTACTAACCTGATGGAGCAAGCTGAGGCAGAATTGTTGAATCTGCTCCTTTGCAATAAAGGATTTTCTCTCTTGTAACCGGATGTCTCAGTACCACTGACATACATTTCCGTGCAGAATCAAATGGTAACACCTGCAAGACTTCAAAGTCAAGCAAACCTTCACCTGGAAGGAAACACAGCATTTAAAAGAGATTCACATGAAAATAATGCACAGTAATTCCAGTTATCATATTTAGAGTAGAGTTACCACAATCATTTTACATGATGAGACACAGCAGTTATTCAAAATGAAACTATACTTTTTGTGTGCCAGCTACGTTCATAACTGATTTTTAAATTTTCTCAATCTATTTGTGAAGTTCTCATTAAGGAATGATTTGTGAAACTGCAAAAATAAATATACCAAAAATATTAACTCGGGAAAATGCAATGAGAGTATTCCATCTGAAGCAAATATCTTGATTATCTGTACTCTAATTCACTCATAACAATACTTTTATTCAAATGCTTTAATCTATATGATTAGGAGAGCTCAAAATTAATAAACATACAGTTTAATGATCCATTTCCAATATTAAACACCCACTACTGGTACAATAAATTTGTTAAATATATCCTTGAAGTTTTGTGCTGCAGCTATCTTTGCAATGGCAAACACGCATAACAATTCTGGCAAGTTCACCAGAATATGAGCTTTGAACTTTGTGAATAAAGTTCAACACAACCACTTTTGCAGAAAAAGGGTCAGGTCTTCATGTGAAGTGCCTATCATTGTTGCCCGATTTAAACACAAATTTGAATATGCTGACAAACTTTAGCAAAATTCCCCTTAAAAATAAATTAAAATCTGTTACAAGTCATTATGTGCAGCCAGACAGCCAGACAGACAGTACGATGTTAATACGTGCATTTGCGCAACTTGTAGTTAGCCAGTTTCATACTCTGGCCACTTAACAAGGAAACAGCCCTGGTAACTACTGACAAAATGGCTGGGTGGGTCAGTCTTTTTGAACAAGGTCAGACACAAAAAGTCCCTGTCCCTGCTGGGATTTGTTAATGTAATAAAATGTTTATGTTTAGCGGTACATGCTAGTTCCATCTTCATACAAAATGCCACACTACTTAATTAGTTACTGCTGTTAACCTGAAAAATGAATACAGATTTCACTTGGTCATGTTGTTCTGTTAATTCTATAAAATTTCAGAACCCTGCATTATGTGAAGCACTGAAGACAGAGGCAGCAAGCACCTCTGAAATATCAATAACGTTTACCAGACTACATGATGCAACATTCCAGAATCTTTATAAGCACATTAAGGTGACTCCAAGTGACTCATTACTAGGAATCTAGATTCTAACTGCAAAGCTCCTGAACACTGTTTTACTTTGTAATTTTATTAGTTGTAATGTACCTTGTATGTTCATCAGTGTCAAGAAAATTCTGCATTACCTAGTCCTGATGTAATTAGGCACTAACCTGGTAAAGAAACTGTAACAAACTGGGGTGTTCTCTTCACTAGGCGACAGTTGTAACTGTAGGCAGCATCTACTAATGCCAATTCGTCTGGACTCTCCGCCTCAAAAATTGGCTTCAGTTCACATGGGGAAGGTGTGGCTGACCTCTGCTGTGAATTCTGGGAGTTCCCTCCTTTACTGCTTGAAGACTTTTTATTTGAACCAACCAACAGTAAAGATGGTACATTTAGAAGTTTTGGTCGACTAATTTGTTTGGCTGCTTGTGGCATTGTGGGTGACTCAGTGGTTGGCGTTGTTTCAGAAGAAGAGTTGATAGGAGACAAAATAGGTTGATGTGGAAATTCCATTGAGGTTATCCCACTTCCAGTATAATTTAATGTCCGCCTACCAAAGGGAGTTGCATCAGAAGGGGGAATGTTAACAGATGTATGTGGAGGATAGGAATGGGCATGTGGAGGGGGAGGGGAGGGGGTTACAGATCGGGACTCTGAGAGGCGAGAATATTTGTCAATCTGTGAGCCCCTGACAGCAATGGCAACAGACTGTTTTGATGTGACAGAGGATGGATTCTCATCACAATGGGAGAGATGTGAAGACACTGCATTCATGTTGGCTCCAGAGTGACTGCCAAGCACATTTTGAACTGATTCTATCACACCACTAGCATTCATCTGTGAATGAAATAAACAAATTGTCATCAGGTATGCACAGTTGAGCAGTATAGGCTCATGTGGTCTTATACAGACTGTAAACTATAATAACAGGTTCAAATCTTAACACATGGGTATTTGTGCACTTCTCATCACTATCAAATATCCTGCTCTTTGCCATAGTCACTGAGATATGGAGGTTTTATAGTGGGAGGGGGCCATGTAGATAAAACATAACAAAAAGAGAACTGGAAAGAGCTTTCCAGGATTGAGGGAGAAGAGCGTTAAATGTGAAAAAGAAAATGCTCTGAAAAGATATCACCTTACACACAGGCACCAGTTATCCTAACTTCAAAACAAACTAGGCAACTGACTACAGAAAAGAAGATGACGGTTACTGGACTGTGGACAGAAATATGAAGGTTCATTAACTGTCACAACAAAACCAGCCTTTGATAACCAACAACTGTCTGAGGAAGATTCTCTACCATGCAAACAGCAGTTGCATTTAACTTAGGTTTTCTTCACTGAAAACATACTTGTTGAAGAATAAGTAATATTCATGACGCTTTAGTTCCTGGTAAAGTTTCTTTTAGATAATAATATAAATTACATACTAAGTCTCTTTTTCCTAGTGAAAATATTATTTCCTTACTCTTTTATAAGACTGAGGAGACTTTAACTATGACACTGATGGACAATTATTACAGCAGAAAAAGAATTACTTAAAAATTCACACAATGTAATCAAAAAATGTCAAACCCACCAACAATTTTATAAAAAAAATCACCAGCTGCTTATAGGGTGGGGGCCGGGGGGGGAAGAGCGAGAGCTCTACAATTCTATATCAGCTACTGCAAAAAATTTAGATCTGAAATTTAATGAAAATAGAATGCCTCAGTAATCACTCACATATCAACAGAATATAGCCATGTTGTTGGTTTAAGAAAACCCTTTTGGTATAAACAATAACAGACTATATTATTCACCATATCATGATGGGGGTGTCGAGACACCACTACAGTGTTGCACACTGCCAGCAGCAGGAGGAACTCCTGAATGCGCTGTGCATGGGGGGCTTGCCGCATGTCACCCTGACCACTTTCTTCAAGTACATGCTGTAGGTTCAGTTGATACAGCTCTTCTTGCAGCTGTGGGTTCACCAACAGTGGCATAGGGGCCCCTGGTCGCAGTCTCAGGTTCTGCACAAAAATACCAGTACCATTTAATAGTTTCACTGCTCTAATCCAAGATCTGGCATTTAAGATAATGTTCCACAGCTGCAGACTTACTTGGTCTCAAGTATGTAATCAGACTACTGAAACAGACACCATCACTACATAACACAACAGAGGGCTGTCTGCACTGTACCATAATCCTAGAGAAAATGCATGATCCCTAATACTTTACTTTGTAGAAAAAATGCATGAAACATTTTGCAAGAGAATTCAACTTCTTTATTTAGAACTAATGTGGTCTGGAAGCCAGAATATTTGCCTCAACAAAATGAAGAAGCATTTTAAAAGAAGCAATAAAGACTTACTTTAAAAATTTAATAAGAATAAACCGTCTCTGGGGAAAGAATTGAAGATAGAAACTCCAAAATATGAAGTAAAATATTATATTTGTTTTGTAGTTTTCAAATTATAATGGGAATAAATGTGAGGATTTAAAATGAGTTGAATAGGTTTGAGATAAAATCCAATGACAAGCTTTCGTGGCAATAGTAAAAAACCTTCATATTCTTCAAGAACAAGGATTTTCTTTCAATTAAAAATACTGCAATTGAGAAATTCAACAGATTATAAAACAACAGTCTTTACATGTCCTTGATCATTAAAACACAGTGAGATAAATTCACTGACAAGTAGTAAATAAATTCTATGAAAGTCACTTTTGATTAAATACTGTCATTTCCCCATCACATTCAATGAATATTCTCAGTAGTTTATCTTGTTTATTCTGTTTGTGAACTTCAAATCCTCACACTTATTTAAAATTATAAACCATTATAATGTGCACGCCTTCAGACTTTGAAGAACTCACCTGTACATTTTCAGGAGGTGGGTGATTATAATCAACTCCACCTATTGAACATCTTCTGAATATCATCTTGTTCTCTGTGAGTGTCCCGGTCTTGTCAGAAAAAATATATTGCACCTACAAAAAAATTTAGAAGAAAATTATATTACAATTACAACAGAAAAGATAAAGGATGCAAGTAAGTTGATTACATTCAACTGGTTCAGAACAGAGTCCAATGCTGAACTCTTATGAACAAGGTAATAAACCCTTTGCATTCCTCAAAAGGCAGACACTTTTGTGACCAGCTAAACAATTACCAGATTCTATAAAAGAAAAGCTGGTTATACATGCGTACCTCGTTTTATTGTGCTTCGCAGAAATTGAATTTCTTACAAATTGAAGGTTTGTGGCAACCCTGCATCAAGCAAGTCTATCGGCGCCATTTTACCAACAGCATGTGCTCACTTCGTGTCTCTGTGTCACATTTTGGCAATTCTCACAATGTTCTCGCATTGCTTTTTAGACACAATGCTATTGCACACTTAATATACTACAATATAGTGCAAACATAACTTTTATATGCACTGGGAAACCAAAAAATTCACGTAACTTGTTTTATTGCGGTGGCATGGAACTGAACCCGCAATATCTCCGAGGTATGCCTGTACATACAGGGATCTATCCAACAGTGCAGCATTCTTCAATATAGGCAGACTCATTCAAGGCAAAAGCAGTAAAGCTGTCCTTGTTTACATAATTTTAATCCAGTTAAAACTGTTCAGTGACCAATTATTATAGATGTTAACAAAATAAAAAATCTTTTTCATACATTAAATACTAAAACATTCCAAAACACAATGATCTATTGACAAGAAGGATTCTTACCTGTCCCAGTTCTTCAGAGATATTGAGAGCACGGCACTCAACTTGTTTATTAGTTTCAGGGTCATACATATCAATATCATTGTGAATGTGGTACACCTGCATTAGCTTTCCCATCTCTATTGTTACATACAGAGATAGAGGAATCATAACCTAAAACAAACAAAAAAACACTTGTCAGTTGCTTCCAAAACAAACCAACACATAGCTAACCTCTAATTTGCATTCATCGGGTTTAGTTTTTCTGTTATGTCAGACAGGGGTCTCATCTATGCCAACAAAACATTTTTTGAGCTATTTATTTCTTCTTAATGGTTAGTTACGTTCAAACAGCCATTACTGTTTCTAAGAAGAAACCTTCATTCTGTACGTATGATCTATTAACATACCTGTAAGATGATTATAAACGTCCAGAACCCAAGAAATCCCTCTTTGACGGGACTCTCAGCAAGAGGAATAAAAGGCACTGAGTGGTTATCATAGTTTTCATAGGAAGACAGCCACAGCTTGCAGCCAACAGCACCAATCACACAGAGCACAAACAGTATCAAGACACACCATATGACATCTAAATTCATCTGCCGTTCCAGGTTTGAACGCTTGTAACGAGGACCACCATTATTCAGCATTGCCTTTGTCTCATGACCTACCAACAAAAGATGAGAATGAAACTAGAAATGATTTCTTCCTGAAAGCTGGATGAAGAACAACTTCCATCTTCAGTATGAGAGAAGGTACAAAACGACAGAAAATGTGGATTATGTTGGGAGAATAGTGACAGACAGGTTACGTGATTATTTTACTACGCTTCATTAAGTCCTGAGACTATGAAGTGTGAATTATTAATTCTGTTGGGAGAAGAGAAGGCATTGCAGTGATGCAGTGTTCCTTGCACAGGTTTACCGCGGTTTTAAACGCTGTCCTTCCCTTCTGGAAGCTGTCGGTCTCCGCATCCCTGCTCGGAATCTGAGAGATTTTTCTATGTTCAGTTTTAGCCCTCTGATCAAAAAACAGTCCTTCTGCTAGATGCGCATCAGCTGCTAATGTCGTCTGCAGGGACTCGGACGTATTCGAGACGAAAATTGTTACACTTCTTCACATTCTACAATAATATAATTTACTTAACTGATTTAAATTATTTTTACAAATATGCTAATATATTTAGTAGCAATTTTGTTGTGTATTAACGTCCTCCGCATTAATGTATTTTTTATTCTGCTTGTTTTACCTTTTATGCTTTTATTGTGTTCGTGAGCTCATCTCTGTGCTGTATCTCTAATTGGCCTTCAGGCTGTTGATACAGCACACTAATAATAAAGAACTGAATTGAATTGAATTGAATTACTGCCTATGATAAAGTGGGAGGAATGTGAGAGGAATGGACCATATACTATTTTCACGGATTATACAAAAATTTGCCTTGAAAAACTGGAAAAAACCTGGAAAAAAGACTCGTCATGATAGTCTTCACCTGAAATTCAAATCATGTAATGCAACACCTGTTTGGCAGAACAGGCTCATCGCACATTAATAAATGTTCCATGTTTCATTAAGATATATAGACAATGTTCATCAAATGAATCCAGTCTATATTATTTTTTAAATTAATTTTAATATTAATTGTTATTTTAACTAGGTCTTTTGACCTTCTAACAAAAACCCTGTATGTACATATAATTTCCCCCATTCATGCTACATGCTCTACCCAACTCACTTTCCTTTATTTGATCACTAATAATACACTTCTAAATATAAATTTTGTTGCATCTTCCTGTTACTTCCTCTGTGTTAAGTCAAAATATTCTCCTCAACACCCTCATTCTGTGTTCTTTCAGGGTTACAGATCAAAGTTTCATGCCCTTACAAAACAATGGATAAACAATGACAATACTGGTAGACAACATGTTTTTCCTACCTGCATACACAACTATTCCTTCAACAAAGTCTGTGTTCTTAAGAACGCATTCCCGAAGTAACAAATTCTCGGTTCCAACAGGGATTCTTTCACCAGCTGGATGAACTATGGCACCATGGAACCTGTAGATCTTCGTTGTCGGACCATCAACCTCCACAACCGATCTGAACTTCCTTGGCTCAAAAACATCTTGCTGTAAGCATGCAACCAAGAAGAGGAAGTAAGATTAAGAAAAACCCAAACTCACAGACAAAATAAACATTACACAGTATATTTATAAGCCAATATAAACAGGCTGGCTGAGATTCCTATATGCATTTTATTTCATTTTGATGTGTTTGACTGAATATTTACAGCTTCAGCAATATTGTGCTTACGCAATGTTAAATAGAGGCAACTGATATTACCAATGCTTTAGCGACATCAGCCACATTATAACAATCTTAAGAACTCCAGTAAGAAACTGAATACCAAACATGAAGGAATGGAGAGGCCAACTACCATAATAAATTCAAGGAAAAAGATACCACTAGATACCAACATTACAAAGAAACATAGTCTACACCTTTAGTCCACACGGCATTACAAACCAGAACACCAATACTGACAAAATACGTTCCATTAGTCATGAAACTATTGATAATGTATTTTTGTTTATGAATAAAAACCATAGAAATCCAATTTATTAGTTTATTAAAATGTCGTTTGCGTGTATACAAGCATCCTTTTGGGACATCCTGTTTATGTGTGTATACACACACACATCCATATATTAAGAATCCTAATTTCGAAAGATAAGATATTGCCTTCTTCTAAATATAACGTGTGGAAAAAAAAAATGTGGCACGCCTGAAACCTCAGGGCAACCAGCACCGTCACGCTGGAAAGCAGACCACCCTTCCGTTCTAACATTCTGCTCCATCAAATCCAACTCAACGCCTACTGCTTTGCCCTAAGCAAGGCTGCCAAAATAACCTATAATTCTAAATTCATCCTGAATATGGAAAACGCAATGTTTGCCGAAATGATGGATAATTTTCAACATTTCACTCATCTCGCCCACAAAAGATGAAGTTGTTCATTGAACTCCAACCAAGAAAAACGAACGATACGAAAAACAACTGTTCTTACTCGTTCAGTGAATCCTCTGGCCACCTCTCGTTGTTTGAGGTTGGTCTCTCCGTCCAAATTACAAGTGTCAATAAAACACAGCCCGTGGGGATCGCTCGATCGCAGCAACAGAATATCAGCTGGTATTACTTCATTGTTGGAAAGGTGAATGAGATCCCCAACTCTCACACTCTTCCAGAGAACTTTCTTGTAACGCTCTTCATCACTGTAAAATAAAACGATGGAAATTAAAATACTGTTATCATTTAGTTTCAAGGAAGATGGTGTCAGAAGGATACACTGCAACAACTCAGTGTTGGATGTACAACGTCGGCTTTCAGGGATAAGCCGTGCAAAAGTGTTGAGAATTATCCAGCGTTTCTGCAGACTTGCGACCCATTGCCTGCCACAGGCAGCCAAAATGCCCAACCATTACGTTTTCACCCTGTAAATGGCAGCTTAAATGTTTGTTGAAACGTTGAATAATTTTTAACATTCGATTCGGCTCATCCCCGAAAGCCAAAAGCTGTACAATAAACTCCAGGACAAGAGCTCGGGAATATTAGAAGGTACTGTTCTGGACTAATTCAGGATTCATGTTTAAACAAACACATTTCACTACTGCAGTGCAATTTTGCGTGAATCCATTCTTTGAGTATATCAAATCTAAAACTTCTTGACGATGGTGAAGAGTCAATTGAATAAAAATTTACTTGGATATTATCCATCGTCTAGTAAATATAAAACGTAAAACGACGTTTCGGAGATTGGACTCTATCTCCGTCTTCAGGTTCCTACACAGTTGGGCCCACTAGATAGAGCTAATCCCTATCTCCGGACCCATACTTTGAGTATGTTTATGAAAAGAAATAACACCAAAATCTGCTGGGTGAAGTCATTAATTACACACACGCTCTCCAATTAATTATCGTTGGTCTTCAACACTAGTCATCTGTGCGTAGTGGAACGACGCAAAGATGACAAGTTTGCTTCTTACTGCGTATGGTCTAGAGCAGTGGTATTCAACCTTTTTTGTTCATGTACCCCCCAGATATAATTTCTCTTCAACTTTGTACCCCCAAAGTTGTTGGTACATAATTCAAGTTATACATATTATATAATCTACATCTAAAATAAATTAAATAAATTACATTACTGATTATTCAGTGTTTATCATAAAATAATATATATTTTTTAAAAATTTCGCGTACCCCCAGGGGTACGCGTACCCCAGGTTGAATACCACTGGTCTACGTGAATAAACTAATGACGCGAAAACTACGCTAATAAATACCTTTCATACTTTAATTTAAAATGAACTCTAAGGTTAGGAATAATCACTGCCTCCCCCCCCCCTCCACAAACACGCATACACACAAAAACGTGGCACCGAATTTATTCAATTTCGACAAGTATCAACACGCAGGATGCAGAAACATAACAGTTAAATCAGTCGTGTTACCGAACGCCGAAGTCGAAAGGGCAGCAACTTGCTTCGTATTCAGGAGTTACTGAGTTCGAATCTCGACCTGGAGAAAGACTATCCTGAAGCTTTCCACGGTTTCACTCAGTCCCTCCAGGTAAATCAGAAAACGTACCGATGACTGTGTTCTTTCACATTCTTCTCGAGTCGTAATTCATTCTATCGTTCGACGCTACATGTGAGCTACTGACAGCGTCGTTAAATAAACCACCCGTATTTCGTAAAGGCTAGTCGGAGAGGACCTCGGGTGCAACGCTGAAATTATGTAGCCACTGGTATTTCTCACTACCGTTTTACTTTAATGGTATATTATGAGCAATATTTTAGATCTATAATACATTACAGAATAAAAATTACTTTTATTGTCTGTGTATAATATCTGTACACGTATGACCATACTTTAATTGGGTTAGAATTTTTAAAACTTTAAATAAAAACTATCCCTCTTCTACTAACGTAGGCCGGCTATTGCGACTGTCATGTCAGTTTTTTTCATTTGCCATTAAAGGTCAGGATAAGGGTTTATTCTGGTTTCAATCCACCATTTTCTATGACGACAATGTATTTTATTCCTTATGGATGAAAATTAAAAAGCCTTTGTAACAATATTTCTTCTAGCATTCTTTCTACGTATTGTAAAAAACTTTCTCTACAGGATTCAACGTTATCTTTAATTGCAAATATGTGCAAATCTCTTAATTTCTTATCGTATAAAAACAAGTACAAGACGAGTTACATACACATGGCGACGCAGATGAAATACACAATGTTCCATTTAAAACATAATCCTAACTAATTGACACGAACGACTTCACATACAACAATGAAACCAATGGCAATGCTGAATTCTTGCAGTAGTAACCAGTCGATGCATTGTCGTCTTTGTAGGATATGATGCTTTCACTGCGTTGAGTCTTCAGGGTTCTAACGACAGCCATCTTCATTGCTGCCTGATTCCGCACTTCCTTGTCAGCGTAAGCAATGATAAATGCTTCATGGACAGCAGCAAACGATTTCGATGCAAAGTAGTGTTAAAGAATGAACACACTCTCTGCTCATACATGAGTAAATGTTCGCACCTGCACGGTTTTTGCGCAAATGGTGTGAGTGGCGGCCGGCCTAAGAACCAGAGAGACCTCGACTCGACTCGACTTGACTTCGAGTGTTACGGGTAAGGTTATAAGGGCGGTATCGCACTAGGATGTCATGGCAGCGACACCAACAGCGATGCCATGGCGTCCCGCTGCCAGAAAAAGACGCCTGACAAGCTGCCAGCTTTCGACGCCAGTCGAGCGAACAGATGGATCAACGTTATGAGATCACGAAATGAAGGGCTATTAGCAAGGAGAAATGTCCACTTTTATCACTTTTGAG